TCCACTTCCCATCCAGCTCCCTGCTTGTGGCCTGGGAAAGCAGTCGAGGACGGCCCAAAGCTTTGGGACCCTGCACCCATGTGGGAGACCTGGAAGAAGTTCCTGGATCCTGGCTTCAGATCGGCATAGTAGCATCGGCCATTGCAGTCACTTGGGGAGTGAACCATTGGACGGAAGACCTTCCTCTCTGTCTCTCCTCCTCTCTGTATATCTGACTTTCCAATAAATAAATAAATCTTAAGAAAAAAAAAAAAGACCAAGATCTCTGAGCAAACATTTCTCTCAAACAACCCCCTGAAGCCAGCCACCCTTGTAACTGACTCCCAAAGGCTGCAAATATTCAACTTGTTCCAAGTGGAGCTTTCCTCTGGGGTCCCTGTGAAGCTCCAGCAGCCACTTAGACACAATTAAGGGATTCTCGGGCTCCAGGAAGCTCACAGCGTCTCATCCATAATGCAGCGGGGAGCGCATGTCCTCAAGTGACTCAGGCCTTGTAAGAGCTGGGAACAACTGTCTCCATAGTTACGCATATTAACAGTTGGAAAAAAGTCAAAAGTCTTACATAATCTGGATGTCTAACCTATCTGGATATTTATTACACTTCACTGGAACAATCAAGTTCCTGCTATAAATGGTACACTTCAGCTTCAAAATAAATACAGAGGGATCCAGACTCATTTTCCCACAGTCACACAAACTTTCTTTTAACAAAGAAATGCAAGAAGACATCAGGGTCTTCTTAGGACCCCTCATCCTCCCTGCTCGAAGACTGTAAGATGCACCTCACAGACCAACCCAAGACAGCTGACTCATCCGAACGTCAATTTTTAAAGAGACTTGGGATGGGCACTTAGCCCAGCAGCTAAGGTCTCTGAGCATCCCGTGTCAGAATACCAGTGTCCAATGCTGGCTTGGTGCCTGCCTGCAGTTGTCTGCTAATGCCGACAGGGACAGAGTGCGATGGCTCAAGGACCCGGGTTCCTGCCACCCAGAGGGGATACCAGGATCGTGTTCCCAGCTCCCCGCCTGCCCAGCCCATCAGCCGTCAGCGAGTCTAGAAAGCACATCAGCAGAAGGGAGCCCCCTCTGCCTCTCGAACTGAAAAGCAAGAAAAAGAGACACTAACTCACAAATACGTATATTACCTTCCAGATTAAAAAGGTCACTTGAAAATACAAGGATTCCCAGCAGTTACACTGGGAGTTCTGTTGAAAAGTGAAGCCGGAAGCCAGTTTTAAAGCAGCCAGCTGAAATAACACTGCGAGCCTGAGTCTGCCCACACCTTGCCTTTTGTCTTTTTTTTTTTAATTGGAAAGGCAGAGTTACAGAGAGGAGAGACAGAGGGGAAGATCTTCTGTCCACTGATTCACTCAAGTGGCCACAACGGCTAGAACTGATCCTATCCGAAGCCAGGAGCCAGAAGCTTCTGGGTTTCCCATGCAGGTGCAGGGTCCCAAAGCTTTGGTCCATTCTCGAATGTTTTCCCAGGCAGGAAGCAGGGAACTGGATGGGAAGTGGAGCAGCCAGGACTTGAACTGGCACCCATAGGAGTTCCCAGCACATGCAAGGTGAGGACTTAAACCATTAGGCTACCACACCAGGCCCTTGCCTTTTGTCTTAAGCCAGGAAAACAGTGAAGAACTGCTGGTTCTCCAATGGATCTTTCTTGAACAGGCTAACCTGATATGACATGGCAACAGTGATTTACATTTTTAAAAATAAACTTCCTGTACACAAATCCTGTAGTGAGACAATCTTTTAAAGCTGGACTTAAGTGGCTGGGTCTAAGTGAATGACCACGTGACTCCTCCGGGTTAGTGACCAACTCTGTCTTCTGACAGTGTGTAAAGTCAAAAGGCTCACAGGCAGAGAGAAAAGGCCTGGACCCTTGTCTGTGTTCCACCACTGGGGTCAAGGGCCCTCAGCACCCACAGTCCTCACTGTCCCTGCCTGGGGCTGGCTGCTGGAACAAACAGAAGGCAGCAATGCTAGAGTTAGAGGCTTCCGCAGGGTGGAGGCAGAGTGAAACAGCCACGCCCTGCCACACCGGCCTGTAACCACTGGCTTCCTGTTGGGGTGTGTTTCTCGGTGAACCCCAAGGTAGAGCCGCTCCTACTGCTTCCTGACAGGGAAGAAGGCCAGTCCTGGCCAGTCCTCGCACGGGAGACTCCTCTATTCTGGCATGCTCCTTTTTTGTCTCAGCTACCAAGAAACTGAAAAATCCCATGACTACAAAGCATCCAGTGTCTGCCGCCAAGACGGCCTGGGAGGGGTCTCTGTCCTTCATGGACACCGTCCTGCCGCCAGCTAAAAGCTCATTCATTCGCTCCATCTGCCTCAATGGTTACTCTGGAACAGGCAACATTCTAGGTGCTTGGAGACACTTGAGTCACCAAAACAAACAAAAGTCCAACTTCCAAAGAAGTTCCACGGGGAAGAAACTGAAGAGAATGTAAATAGGCAAACCATGCTGCATTCCAGATGGAGGCCAAGTGCTGTGGACAAAAAAGTACAGCAGGAGGAAGGGCCAGGCATGGGGCGGGGCTCAGGTCTAAAAGACAGGGTCACAGCCAGGTCCCCCTCCACTGGGGACCATGGGGAGCCAGCCCACAGATGAGCTAAGTACAGAGACACTGTCCCTGGCCTTTTAATGAAACCATAAAGAGGCTTGGAGGGCAAGAGAACGACACAGGAGACAGGTCAGAGGAGTAATGCGATAGGGCACCCATGTGTGCTTGGCCGGGCTCAGGGACAGCCGTGGCTTCTGCCCCGAGGGGCATGGCTGAGGCTGGAGCATCTGAGCAGAGGGTCTGCGGTGACATGGGCGAGATCTGGGGGCTTCTGTAAGGACAGCAGCAGAGGAGGTGCTGCAGGGGGCAGGGAACTAAGTGTCCACATACTGGAGCCAAGAGTTGATATTGGCTGATGGGAACAAGAGCCAAGGATGACTCGGCATCTCGCGAGCCCTGGGCGCAGGGCAGCAGGGGCCAGGGGCTCGGCTCTGCACACGTTCTGCTCCGGGGCGGGGAGTAGGCAGCCCAGTAGCCAGCCCTAGACAGCACTGGCCGGCACAGGAGCAAGCAGAGGCTGGGTCGCCAGGCTGCAGCTGGCCCGGGAACAGCCTCCGGCGGTCCCCACAGCATCCACGGCTCAGTGGCTTTTCACAGCTGATGCCTTCTTTGCTCTAGGTTGTTTCTAGTCTTTCTTAGAAACGTGGTGATTCAGCATGAAACACAACTATGTCCTCACGGATAAGATAGGGGCTAACAACAGGCCTGAGTGCTAAGCCTCTAGGAAATTGTGAAAAAAAATCGAGGAATCAAAGAAGTCTATTTTTACTTGAAAGTTATTAATGCACCAGTTTAGATGTGCTGAAATCTTAAAAATAACATCTCAGAGGAAATGTTTAATGAAGCAGCTCTTGGGTAAAACATGTCACTTTCCAAATGCTTTTCTAAGAGAACATATTATAAGTAACATACTATGTAATAACCTTATTGTTCACACTTGGGTGTGATGAGTGGTTATACACAGCAACCATGGGTAAACGGCCTCTATTACCTGGTAGCTGTGCTGAGTCCATGTGGTACGCAAGCTGGTCCTTGATTTTATTCCTTTGTTTTCTTTCTTTCTTTGATTGATGGACTTATTTGAAAAGCAGAGTCACGTATAGAAAGATAGACAAAAAAAATATCTTGTTTCTGTCAGTTCATTCCCCAAATGGCCACATAGCTGGGGACTGGCCATGCTGAAGCCAGGAGACCAAAATTCCATCCGGGTACTCCCACGGCAGAGGCCCAGCACTCTGGTCCTCCTTCCCCTGCTCTCCCAGGTGTACTGACAGGGAGCTGGGTCGGAAGTGGAGCAGCAGTACTCCAGTCAGTGCTCTGACATGGAACGCTAGAATTGTAGGCATTATGCCACAATGCTGGTGCCAGAATTCTAAATCATGGGAATGGCTTTTTACTTTGGTTGTATTTTAAGAAACAATCCCTCCACGGGGGGATAAGAAAGCACACACACCTCCACACATGTATGGGATATACTAGCAATGTGAGGGAGATAGTGGGATACGGAATAAATATCTTATGAAACTCAAAACAGATTACTATGTGCATGGTTCTGCTTCCACCCTGGCTTTGAGTAAGTTTCCCAGTTAGAGTAAATGTAACATCACTGGCCATGAGCGATTGGGCAAGCACAGAAGAGGGGGTTTATCGTGTGAATCTCAAGTGCATGGGTCCTGCACCCACGTGAATGACCCCGATGGGAGTTCCAGGCTCCTGGTCTCAGACTGGTCCCGTGTGAGCTGTTGCAGCCACTGGGGAGTGAATCAGTGGATGGAGGAAATCTGCACTTCCCATCCAGCTCCCTGCTTGTGGCCTGGGAGAGCAGCAGAGGATGGTTCACAGCCCTGGGACCCTGCACCCATGGAAGATTTTTATGTCTTTCCTTCTCTCTGTAGATCTGCCTTTCTAATGAAAGAAATAAATCTTTAAAAAAAAATCAGTTAGCCAAGCCCTCTTCTGAATTTGCTGATTTTGTCTTAAGCACAGAGATGGATAAGCCAAACTCAATGACAATTTAGCTACCTGCTAAGCAAATACATTTTCTGCAGTGAAAATAATCAAATGTGCAGGCAGCTTTGCTATGAGACAAAAACTTGAGAAGCCATTCTATTAAATATATTACACTTCTCACTCCCTCTTAAAATATTTACAACCACTCTCCGCACCACCCCTAATCTTGTTACTCTGCAAAAGAGCTGAGCAACAGTGACTGCTCTCACCGGTAGGACATGTGTTTCAGGGCTCTGGCTGCAAGCAAATAGGGTGAGAGTTCAAAGGTACTGGCTAAAATAATACATAAATAGATAAACACAAAATTAATTCTTTTAGGTTTGAATTCCGACTATGCATAGATGTACTCCATTTCCTGAGCTTGAAGAGCATCTGCATTGCCAGTGGGGGGCGGGGCCAGAGGCTGGAGACAGAACTTACTTCAGAACCTGCAGGAGTCCAGGGGTCACAGATGTTGGTCGCACCATTCCAGCTCCACTAATGGTCCCCAGATGAACTTGAGGATAGTAAACGGTCCGGAGAGCTAATCTTGAAGACTGCAATCTGGTCTTAATGACTTCTAGTGGACACGTGAAAATAGCACCAACTGTGCCACCACACCTGAAAGGAGACCACAGTGGGATCAGCAGACCTCTGTATTAAGTGGAACATGGAATTCATTCTCCCCTCTTTAAACTGACACGTTTAATTAACAATAACTAGAACACATGGGAGGTTAGGAGACTAGTTGGAACTCAGAGCAAAAAGAGATGGCCTGTGACCAGGTCAACACAGCCTGCTGCCCACTCTTCTAGACACAGCACTGGGACCGTGCAAAGCCTGCCTCAGCCATCCCTGGCATTGGTTTCATGGTACCCCTCCGTACCCATGTATATACAGCGTCACTTTCAATTTCACTATGCTGCAATCAAGATTCTAGGACACATACCTATACAAATAAACCAGATGTTCAATTTAGGTAATGCTACTTTAAAAAACAATGTTTGTTTCAATACAGATCTTTATAGAACCGGATTAATCCAGGTTCTGTTGAAACTTAATTTCAGTGACAGAGTCCTTGCGTTCCCCTCCCTTAGGTCACCTCTGTGTTAATTAATCATACAGGCTCCCTGCATCAGGTCCCTTAAGTCATCCACATGACCACTAACCCTCATAACACGCTCATATCAACATATCACCCGAATTACTATTTAAACATTTTTCTTCAAGACAACTCATTCTTTTTTCTTTACCCTAAAATATCCACTTCCATTTCTCCTATAAAACATCTACAGAATTCCATGTTTGATAGGAGAGTTACAATTAAAGATATTTGTGTATTTAAAAGTCAGAGTTACTAAGAGAGAGAGAATCTTTCATCCACTGATTCATTCCCTAGATGGCCACAATGGCCAGAGCTGGGCCAGTCCAAACCCTGAGCCACAAACTTCTCCCAGATACCCTATGTGAGTAGCAGGGGCCCATTTGGGCACTTGGGCCATCTGCTGCTGCTTTTCCTAGGCCATTAGCAGGGAGCTGGATCGTAAATGGAACAGCCAGAGCACAAACCAGCACCCACGTAGAATGCAGGCATCACAGGTGGTAATGATGGCCCCTAGAGTTATAATTAACAATGCCACGTGTCATCTAAAATTACCAGTCATATCCCTGGGACAGACTGTACTCTTGGGAAAACATGTGCTAAGCAAAGGAGTCAGACAAACAAGATTCCACTGAGAAGGTCGCCCGCCATCTCTCACCTGGGAGAACCCCCACCCCAGATGAGTGGATGCAACTCCACAGCTTCCTGAACACAGCTGCAGGGCACCTGGCACACAACAGGTGGTTCAACAACACTGACTTCTTCCCCCTTATGTGTTCGGGAAGAGTAGCACAGGAAAGGAGATGATGGCCCACTCACAGTAGGCCTGCAGGCTTCCCTATTCCTTCAGGCGGAAGTGTTGCAAACCTGGAAGCAAACTCCACAACCAACGCAGGCCGGGGCACTGGATAAGCTACAATCTCCATCAGGAGCCCAAGGTTGTGCAGAGCAAGAAGCACCTGAGATCCGAGAGCTGCCCCACTCTCCGTTCTCCAACAACCCTGGGAGGGAACAACTGCCGGCCTCAATAACAGCCCAAGAGACACAGAGACAGAAATACAGGCATGGAGGCGGTGAGGAAGAGGAAAATGGGCACGGTGAACTCATGAAATAAAGATAGCATAAATTGAGCTGCTGATCCACTGCGGGGTTTTCCGAACTGTGGAACAGAGCCCATTAATCATAACAGCAATGTAGGGGAAGGGCTAGATCAGAAATTAAGGGAGGAAATGCAGGAAGAAATTGACATGCTCTCACTTTATACAACAGAGCAAGGATCTCTGTCTATATGGGGGTTATATACAAAGGTATTTGAGAAAGATTGAAGAGGTTTATTCTGGTGGTTAAAAAAAGAAAAAGCAAACATATCAGACATCTGGACTTAACTGTGTTAAGCCACTGCCTGCAGCTCCGGCACCCCTACGGATGCTGTCTGAGTGATGGCTGCCGCACCTCCCACCAAGCTCCCTGCTAATGTGCCTGGGAGATCTGGATGGAGCTGGCTCCTGGCTTATAAACTTACCTGGCCCTCGCTGTTACGGCCACCTGGGGAGTGTCAGATCTCTCTGGAGTGGCATTGTTCTGTTTGCCCTCACCTTTAAGACAGGATGCTGCCTGCCCCAAGTCATGGTGCACTGATGGCGCCACACCACAGCACACCGAAGGCTGCTGTCACTCTTAACACAAGTCATCATTCAGCAGGCAGGCCTTTCACATCTGCTATAGGGAAAAATCTAGGTGCAAGATGTTCAAATGCTATTTTTTTTTTTTTTTAATTTGGAAGGTATATTTTAGAGGAAGAGAAAAGGTCTTCCATCTACTGGTTTACTCCCTAGATGGCTGCAATGGCCAAAGCAGAGCTGATCCAAAGCTGGGAGCCGCGAACGCCCTCCAGATCTCCCACAAGTATGTGGGTGCCCACAGATCTGGTCCATCCTCTGCTGCTTTCTCAGGCCATAAGCAGAGAGCTGGATTGGAAGTGAAGCAGCCAGGACATAAACCAGCACCCACATGGGATACTAGCAGAGGATTAGCTTGCTATGCCACTCTGCTAGCCACCAAAGGCTCTTTTTTGATATAGTAAAAAGCATATTTAAAATTAGAAAGCTGGATGCAGTTCCGACAGTCCTAGTTCTGCTGACAGCATCCACAGCATCATGATGAGGAGTGGCCGCACGTCTGCCCTCCCTCCTGTCAGGTCTGACCAGGGTGTCGGCTTTGGCACCATCAGTGCCACAGAGCTTCTTCACAGCTCGTTTGATCTGGTGCCTGTTGGCCTTGGCATCCACCACAAACACAAGTGTGCTGCTGTCTTCTCTCCTAAAGCACTCTGTGGTGGCAGAACTTGATGATGGCACAGAGGTCAAGCTTGTTCCCCCAGGGAGCTCTCTTCGGAGGGTGCTTGGGCCACAGGAAGGTGGGTGCCATGCCAATCTCATGGCTGTGCACACCTTTCAGCACCGCCGTCTAGGTCTTCAGAGCCTCCACTGTGGGAGGGGCAGGAGCTTCCTTCTCTGCCCTCTGCACCATCTTGGTGAAAAGACCAAAGGCTGTTTTTAAGTCATTAAGCTGTGTTGGTAACACAGTCACTACATCACCCTGATTTTAAAAGAAAACAAGTTGTGAAAGTAAACCACACTTTACAAAGATTTTTTCTGAAACCTAAAACCTTTCATCGCAGAATTTTTAAAAGATGTTTATTTTTATTGGAAAGTCAGCTACATAGACAGAGAAGATGATCTTCCGTCTGATGATTCACTCCCCGATAACCCCAACAGCTAAAGCTGCACAAATCCGAAGCCTGGAGCTTCCTCCAGGTCTCCCACACGGGTACAGGGTCCCAAGGCTTTGGGCCGTCCTCCACTGCTTTCCCAGGCCACAAGCAGGGAGCTGGATGAGAAGCCGGGCCACAAACCTCCTATATGGGATCCTGGTGTATGCAAGGCAAGGGCCCTAGCACGTGGCTACCATGCCAGGCCCTCACTGCAGAATTCTTCAGTAGCTTTCAGTTTAATTTTTTTCTCACTAAATGTGCAAGACAATCGCCCACCTGGGAGAGGATTTATATGAAATATTGATTCATCTAGGTTGGCTTTCCAAGCTTTTCTAAAAATACTTAATCACATTAGGGTCAAAGCACTTAAGACTGCCACAAATCATGTTCTTTGCAGAGATTTTGAGGCTAGCCTGATCCCACGCCAGGAAGGGCTTGCTGCTTTGCTCTGCCCATCCCAGGGGCGACCTGCGCTCTAATGGGGTCTCATCTTGCATGGGCACAGTCGGTTCTGTCCAGGGCACCCCAGCAGATTTAGCCACGCTCTACTGACCCCTCTTTACACTCAAGGACATTGAGGCAGATCCTTTAACTTTCTGTTTTTCAAGTACCGTCCCAAATTCAATCTCCAAAACTTCTCTGTACCAGTGCTCCCATTCCTAACGTCATCCCACTGAGCGCACATCAGAGGAGGAGTGCAGAGAGGCGACCGACAGCAGCGAGGTGCGTCCTCTCTCAAGCCAGTTTGCCTCAGTTTCTTTTCTTTTCTTTCTTTCCTTTTTTCTTTTTTGACTTATTTATTTTTTTATGGAAAGGTAGATTTACAGAGAAAAGGAGAGACAGAAAGGAAAATCTTCCGTCTGATGATTCACTCCCCAAGTGGCCGCAACCGAAGGAGCTGAGCCAATCCAAAGCCAGGAGCCAGGAGCTTCTTCCGGGTCTCCCACACGGGTGCAGGATCCCAAGGCTTTGGGCTGTCTTTGACTGCTTTCCCAGGCAGGAAGCAGGGAGCTGGACGGGAAGTGGAGCAGCCAGGACACAAACCGACACATGAAAAGTAAGGATTTAGCCACTGAACCATCATACCAGGTCCACCTGTTTCTTAAAAAGCCCAATCCTATTACCTGGATTTCCTCTGCACCTGTCTTTATTTTACTACTTTTCCCTCTTCTATAAATACACTCCCTCCCCAATTTCTGCGCCTTCCCTCATTCTTCCTTTTCAGATCTGATGAAGCAAGATGATTACGTAAGAGCGTGTGTAGCCACTGCTTTCACTGCCACTCGGCCCCTGCCTGCACGGAGCCGCCCTCCTCCAGCTCACAGCCGAGCCGAGCCACAGCTCACACCGCAACAAACACACCGGGCTTTCTGCCACACAATGTCATCTCATTATTCCATAAACGTTTTACATTACCAGTTCGTATTTGCTTTACCTCTCAATTCTGAGTTTCAAACAACCAGGACAACTTTTTTTTTTCAAAACTAGCTGTTTTCACCAGGAACCTACTTCCTGATACTCACTGGCACCCAGCACCAAGGCCATGGCCACGGGGCCCTCACAGTGACAATTACCAATCGACCGACAGTGGACCATGGGCTCTGCCAACGGCTGACACCACCGGAACTTCCAGTCATCTCTCAAGAGTATCCGCCACCTCTGGAGTTCCTGCTGGGAACAACAGCTGCTTTTCTGCACACTCTGTCGCTCTGTGGGAAGCTCCATCTGAATACCTGGCATAAACCTGACAAGATTTGATCATACATTCAGCTTAAACAAAACAGCCTTTGATGTAGCTAATTTTCCTGCATGGATCTCATCTGCAAAGAATATTTAAACTAGCACTCAAGTAAGTAAAAACTCTAGTAATTTTTTCAAAACTTATTTATTTTTATTGGAAAGGCAGTTATACAGAGAGAAAGATCTTCTGTCCGATGATCCACTCCCCAAGTGACCACAATGGCTGGAGCTGAGCCAATCCGAAGCCAGGAGCCAGGAGCTTTCTCCAGGTCTCCCACATGGGTGCAGGATCCCAAAGCTCTGGGCCGTCCTTGACTCTTTCCCAGGCCACAAGCAGGGAGCTGGATGGGAAGCGGGGCTGCTGGGATTAGAACCGGCGACCATATGCGATCCTGCTGCATTCAAGGTGAGGACTTTAACTGCTACGCTATTGTGCTGGCCCCAAAATTCCAGTAATTTCAAAGCCTAAAGAGAATCCTATCAGAGACAAAAGCAAATTATTGCCCCTTTATGACAATACAGCTTTAGCAGAATTTTTGGGTAAGATTTACTTTTATTGGAAAGTCAGATACACAGAGAGGAAGAGGGACAGAGAGAAAGATCTTCCACCTGTTGGTTCACTCTCCAAGTGGCCGCAACACCTGAAGCTGAGCAGATCCTGAAATTAGGAGCCAGGAACTTCCTCTGGGTCTCCCAAGCAGGTACAGGATCCCAAGGCTCTGGGCAGGCCTCTACTGCTTTCCCAGGCCACAGTCTGGGAGCTAGAACGGAAGTTGAGCAGCTGGGACACGAACCAGTGTCCATATGGGATTACTAGGCTACTGTGCCGGGCCCAGTTTTAACAGATCTTCATATCACAAATATAGTGCTTCTGTGGACTTGGGACATGAGTCTCCATGCCAGGCAAGAAGCACAGTATCTGGCTAGCCCTAAGCAGCATGACAAAGCATCTGTGATGTGCCTGGCTCCACACTGGGACACTGCAGTGAACAAGGCAGACACGGTTCCTTGAGCTGAGGGGGCTAAAATTCTATCAGCAATCTCTCAGCCAGATACTGTATGATTACAAAGTGTTTCTCCTGTATAAGAAATCAAGAGAATTTATATTCATAGCAGTATGTATAAACTTGATACACAGTTACATAAAACTGCATTTGTTTCATCAAAATTTCTTAAAGGATTTCATGTAAGCCTGGCAACTGCCTACCGTGCTCCCCTGGAAAACAGATGCATCTGGCACCATCTCTGAACTCCCTCGGTTTCCAAAGTCCCCAGGACACAGGGTACCTGGTGACAGCTGCCAGGGGAAGGGAAGAGAAGTGACCTGGGAAAACCTCTGAAGACATTAGAGACCAACATGCCTTCATTAAAACACATCTTAAAGGCTATATAAGTCAGGCGACGACAAAACACAGACACCATCATGCCTCAAAAATAAGACCAGAGCATCTACTCCAAGTTGTCGACTTCTAAATCTACAACAGCTTAGCCCAGCTATTTCAGGCACCGAGCCCGTGGTTTAATCGCCATGCTGCTGTGCCAGCTATGCCAGCTCAGGTCCAGGAGACCGAGTCAGTCCCAAGCCCCAGGACAGGGAGAACTTCCTGGATTTTCCTCCCTGGCAAGTCAGGGCTCAACTCAAGCCACTGGAGAGCGGTGTCAGTGTTTTTCTGGATGAGACACTGTATAAACAGCAGACAAGAGAGGATGGGCTTTGTTACATAACAATAGACTGTGTCTGGGTACCTTTCAGCTGACAGGCACGTTACCCTAAGGGAATAAGGCAGAAACCCCAAAGGCCCGATAGATAAACAAAACCAAATGTATCCGGTCTGTCCTGCACAAGGACCCATCCCATCAAGTGCTGCGTGGGAACCCAAAGCCTTGGGAATGTCTGGATTCAGTAACTACACTTCCCTTGCCTAGTCAAAGAAAGCAAGGCACATGTAAACATTAAGATGTTCAGTTCCTCATAACGACAAAGGACTGGAGAATGACCCGCTCAGAGCCGAGTGCTGTAAACTGCTCTAACACGGTCACTGTAAACCTGCTCAAGCTCTGTCCGACTGACAGAAAAATACAGAATAATGACATGGAACAACGAACATGAGATTGCATGCGGTACTCACGTGCATGGAAGCCTCTCCACAGCATTTACTTCCACGTGCTGCTTTCTGGGTGGTTTAAAAGTATCTGTTCAGGGCCCGGTGAGGTGGCCTAGCAGCTAAAGTCCTCACCTTGAATGAGCCAGAATCCCATATGGGCACCGGTTCTGATCCCGGCAGCCCCACTTCCCATCCAGCTCCCTGCTTGTGGCCTGGGAAAGCAGTGGAGGATGGCCCAAAGCCTTGGGACCCTGCACCCGTGTGGGAGACCTGGAGGAAGTTCCTGGCTCCTGGCTTCAAATTGGCTCAACGTCAGCGGTTGAGGCTGCTTGGGGAGTGAACCATTGGACGGAAGGCCTTCCTCTGTCTCTCCTCCTCTCTGTATAACTGCCTTTCCAATAAAAATAAATAAATCTTTAAAAAAAAGTGTCTGTTCAGTGTCATTCATTTTAACAGTAATTACCTTCCTTGATGCTATAGTTTCCCAAAGCTATTCAATAAACAAGAGAAATGTGACAGTTTTTTTTTTTTTTTTTTAAGCAGGGGCTCTTCTTTTCAAACAGGCTCCTCAAAGGCAGTGAACTTAGTCCTCTGGGTGGATGCCAGCTTAGTGGGCGCGCACACTAGAGCTGCAGCAAGGCAGCAGTACTGCACTGCAGCAGACAGGCTGGCGGGCTGACCCGCTGTACCCACAGCCTGCCCCCTCCTACCCTCAGCTCCATCAGTCAGAACCGCCCAGAATCCAATTAGCAGTCCTGAAAGTGCTTTGTGCCAGGGTTTCTTCTTGACTGCAAGCTGGGTAACTCCAGGCTGCTGCTAATAAAGGAACTGAAGCTTGTTCATCGCTTGGCTCCAGGCGCTACCCTTAATAAACTAGCTGGGACTCCAGACTCCATCAATCCAGGCAGCCTGTGTGGCCACTGCAGAAAGGCATGGGCAGGAGCGCCCGCAGCCACAGGGCACTGGGGGCTATGGGGACCTGGGCTGGGCAGGAGCGCCCACAGCCACAGGGCACTGGGGGCTATGGGTGATCTGGGCTGGACAGGAGCGCCCGCAGCCACAGGGCACTGGGGGCTGTGGGGACCTGGGCTGGGCAGGGGCGCCCGCAGCCACAGGGCACTGGGGGCTATGGGGACCTGGGCTGGGCAGGAGCGCCCGCAGCCACAGGGCACTGGGGGCTATGGGGACCTGGGCTGGGCAGGAGCGCCCGCAGCCACAGGGCACTGGGGGCTATGGGTGATCTGGGCTGGACAGGAGCGCCCGCAGCCACAGGGCACTGGGGGCTGTTGGGACCTGGGCTGGACAGGAGCGCCCGCAGCCACAGGGCACTGGGGGCTGTGGGGACCTGGGTTTGGGCAGGAGCGCCCGCAGCCAGAGGGCACTGGGGGAATGGGGGACCTGGGCTGGGAAAGAGTGCCTGCAGCCAGAGGGCAGTGGGGGCACTGGGGACCTGGGCTATGATGGCAGCAAACCTGGGCAGAGGCTGCCCCACAGTAGGCACCGCTCCCAGTGTGCCACACACAGTCACTTAAATGACCACCTGGTTCAAGCCAGCGAGTCCAAGCCACTGGGCACACATGGCTGCATGCTTCTCGGCTTTTAAACAACGCATGAGGCTTTGGAAACACGGCCAAGTTGTTTCAGATTCTCAAGAACGACAAATAGCCATGCACCGTGTGCTCACTGCAAAAGGGCCCCCCGTGCGTTCCTCCCTTACGGAGATGTGGAGGCAGAGGTGAGGCAGAACCGCAGGGACGGGGGTTGGGGCGATGCTACCCGCGAGGAAACATCGGGTTTGGGGGTTGGAGAGAGGAGGAACTACAAAAAAAAATCACGGCTAGGCTGCCCAACTGCTGTTGGCTGGTAGGTGGTAAAGCCAATAACCCACGGGGAAATTCTACTTTCCGTCAAACTGTTCCGTGTGGAGGACGGCGGAAGGGGGGCAGATCCGCTGGGTCCTCCAACAGGGACCTGTTGGCCACCGGCTGCGAGGCCAAGAGGAAAACCACCACAAAGAAAACCTCGCTTCTATTTTCCAGGAGAAGAAAAAAAAAATAATAAAGAAATGAGCTCCCGTTTTTGTCTCCACCGCTCAACCTGCCTGAGAACACGTGGTGCCCCCTGGAAGAAGCGCAAGGTGCCTGAGCAGCGGGGACCCTCGCCCGTCCCTCCCGGGCCTCCGGGGTCAGCGCCGGCCACCGGAGCGAAGCCCCGAGCGACGGCGGTCAGGGCCCCAGCGCCGCGACCGGCCCGGCTTCCCTCCCTCACACTGGACGCGGACGCCGCCGGAGGGACAATCGCCCCGAGGGGCTGCGCCCGGCCGCCCCTCCCCGAGGGGGACCACCCTGCCCGGCCGGCCCCGAAGCCGGCAGGTGCCCGGCGAGGCGGGACGCGGATCGGCGCGGGCGCTCACCCGCCGGCGAAGAGGTGAAGCAGCGTGTTCTCCTTCTGCTGAGCGTCCATCGCCATGGCCGCGCCGCTCCGCTGCCGGGCGCCGCGGGCGCGTGAGGTTGCCGAGAGGGAGCGAGGCCGCCGGGTCCGCCCGCCGCGCCGCCTCAGGCTGCCGCCGGCCGAGCCGCCATGCGCGCGCGGGCCCCCCGAAGCCCGGCTCCGCCCGCCCGCGGCCTCCGCCGCGTCGCCGCCGCGCCTCAGCGGCCTCTGCGGCCCGAGCCCCGCGGCGTGCGAGAAGCCGGCGCGCGGCCGTCACGTGGCGGGGGCCGGGCCGTGACGCGAGCGGCGGCGCCGAGGGGGCGGGGCGCGGCGGGGGTGTGTGCCTACGTCTCGCGCGCTCATTGGCTGACTGGCGGATGTGGGCGGGGATTCGCTCAGTCCGGGGCGGGGCCCGCCCGCGGTGGGCGCCAGGCCGGGGGGGGGAGGGGCTTGGCCCAGGCCGGTGCGTGGACCGAGTTGAGAACAGGCTGCGGCTGCCTGGTGTCCGCTCCAGGGCGGCGAAATCAGGCTTGGCAAAGGCTAATGAGGCCTTAGGTAAGATTCACTTTAGGACAGTTGTGTGTGCAAGGAGGTATGCGACCCATCCTAATCAGCTATGTAAACATCATCAAAAACAAAGTAATAATAAAAAAAGAGTTCATCCCACTCAGCTTAGAGGAGCAACACGGTGTAAGCCTTCAGGGCGCCAATGACGTCGTTTTGTGTGTATTTTGATTTTTCTGTGCGTAGTGACACGTAGGGCATGTATTTTGCAATATGCTTTTGCCTTCAAAATTACTAAAATTTTCTGTTTAATATTGTTGATGTAGTTGAGGGACGTCACTGATTAGGGTGGGGCGAGAAGGGTGGGTGGGACAGATGTTTTTTTTGCTTTTTTTTTCTCTTGTATCTGCAGGGGACAGGTGGAAGAGGGCCGCTCCTTGCTGTCAAACCACCTCATCTGCCCACGAGGTCGGGGTGTCTGCTGACCGCGCCTCAGAAACCCCTGTGGGGGGTGAGGATTCTGCAGGTGAAGGCTGTGTCATGATCAGCTCCTGGTGACACAGGTCTCCATGTTAAGGTAACTGGGTAGATACTAGCTTATATGTGCGTGTGAGAGGGAACGAAGAAAAATGGGGATTTATTTTTTTTTAAGAAAAGAAGATCTTTTGTGTGGTTGAATGAGAGAAGAAATGTGAAAACAAGCCTGACCTGTAGTTACATTTCTTTTTTTTTTTTTAATAGTCTTACATAATTGATTAGGGCAAAAAGAGTCAAACGCTACAGGAAAGTGGGTAAGACAGTTGTTTCCACACTCACTAATATCATCATTTTCCCCCCTGTATCTGGGGTCAGGGGAGAAACAAAGGCAAAAGCCCCACCCAGCCTCCCACCCATCCCAGGTCCCTGGTGTGGGGTATGTTTCGAGGGTCTTGTTGATAGTTCAGCGGGTCTGAATTGCTGCCAATCTCACTGTTCCAATCATGATGAAATCTCTTCAGAGTCCACTGGCTGACATAGTCTGTTCATGGTTGGGGTTCTGAGATCAGCAGTTCAGTTGGAGGGATCCCCAAAGAAACTTCATCTGAGGTGATCCCAGACCTGATTCTTGTGTGTGCTTGCCAGTACATGGTCTGGCACAGTCCATCGCCCCCAAGCAGCTTATGCACGTGCTGGTAGTTGCACTTGCTGTGTCAGTTCTGTTTCCAGCCCTGACTTCCACACGAACCGATGGATGTGGCAGTCAAGTCTGGTTCTGCCCCCTTCATACTCGGTCCTCACACAAACCAGTGGGAGCTGCAGCCTAGTTGGGGTGACTCGCCATAACCCCCACCAGACCTGCCCCGTACCCTGGTTTCCATGCTTGCCAGTATGTATCGCAGACTTGTTCAGTCTGTCCCACATCCCATTTAGCTCTCTTACATGTCTAATTGGCACTGAAGCCTAGTTCAACCCAACCAACCTACTATCCAGCCCACACACATACTGGCAGGTGCCTTTCTGTCTAGCCAACTCTGTCCCTGTCCTGGTTTTTGTGCTCTCCAGTGGGAGTGGTAACCCATGAGGGAGGTGCCCACTATTTCCCTACTAGGCCGCTCCAGGTGGTTCTGCCATTTAACTTGACAGATTTAGCCCCCAGTGCCAGCCCCTGTCAGCTGATGCTGCGGCAGAGTCCAACCAACCCTCACCCACTCTAATTTTTGCTTGCACCAGTCAGAATAGTCAGCCGAGCCTGGCTTTTCCCCAGTCTAGCTCACCTGAGGCCCACAGGTGTTGTAGCCGTGTCTGGTCTGGTCTGCCCCCATCCCAACTCATGCTGTCCAGTGGGAGTGGTTGTCCAGCAGGGGAGCCCACATTCCCCTGCCAGCTTTCCCCTTCCCCCCCCCCCCCCACGGTTCTCATTTGTGCTGTTGGGCACACTGACCACGTCTGGTATGGCTCACCTCACCTTGACATTCCTTAATGTGCACTACTGGTATGTATTGGGACCAAACCTGGCCTGACCCACACTCTATGCTGGTACTCGGATTTGCCAGTGGTTGATGTGAACGGGTTCAGTCTGGTCTGCCTCTGACCTATACCAAATGTATGATGGTGGGAAGCTTTCCATGGCCTTGTCTTGGTTGCTCTCTATTGTGGTTCTTGTGTTCATCTGCAGGATTTGTGTCCTGCCAGAGGAGTTGCCCAGGCTCCTCAGAACCTCTCCCTATGCCAGATCTTGCGCATACTGGTGGGTCCGTGGGCCAGCCCTACTTAGTCCACTTCCTGTCCTAGCAGGAATGGTGACCTTTCCTTGCTGGCCTTCAGTCCACTCCGATTCTTACTATTGGATGTTTCATCCCAGCCAAGGCTTGTCCATACCCAGACACTGCTCACATGTGGCTCAGTAGGGGCAGAGACCTAGTCTAGTCCAACTTGTATCTACCCAGGTTCTCCAGAGCACCAGATGGTGCCGGCGTCTAGCCCGGTTAGGTGTACCCAGCCCTAGTTCACACTTGTGCCCAGGAAGATTGCAGCCATATCCAGACCAGAACGCAGTTCCCCCACCAGCCTCTGCACCCTCCTGTGGGAACCCCAACTCAGCAAGGGTGTACTCTCACAGCTCCCCAACCGAGCCTATTCCCAGCCCTAGATTACACGCATGCCAATGGTTGCTCTGACCCAGTTGACTTAGCCCCTCCCCTGTCTCAGCCTTTGCCTTTGATGCTGTGGCCTAGTATCCTTGGCTCATATAGACCAGTCAGTGTAAGAGCCTAGTTTGGCATGAACTGTGCTCCATCCTGATTTCTGTTCTTCCTTATGAGTTGAGTGAAGTTTGCTTGGCCCTGCCCAGTTCACCCCCTTCCAGTTGCAGCACAGCCCACCCCACATCTGTTTTAGGATGCACATTCAGATGCTGCTGCCTTGATCTGCCAAGACTTTTGTGGGTTCCTTACCCGTAAGTGATGGCCGGTTCCATGGTCACACCTAGCTTAGCCAATCACCACCCCAGCTTGTGAGCTAACCAGCGGGACATATATTTCCACAGGGTTGGGCGCACATTTCCTCCACAGAATCTACCCCTGGACCTAGTTCTTTCACATTCTGGTTGGTCTCTTGACCCTGCCGAGTATGACCAGTCCACTGTTCCACCACTCAGTCAGGTACTGGGACCTAGCCCTGCCAGACAGGCCCCCATCCATATCTTTCATGTGGACTGGTGTGTGGCAGTCAGTGATGCTCTAGCCTAATAGCCCATCTCAGGATTCCCATGTGGGCTGGTGAATCAGTCTGGCCCAAATAGATCTTATGGATTCTCCCCTCCAAACCACCAGGTCTCAGTCCCCTCACTTGCCAGAAAGTTCCATAATCCCATTGCTGGGAATCACCCAAAATTCATCTCTCACCTACACTCACACTGGCCTTATCCATGGGTGTCCCTAGGCAGCAATTACATATCCTAAAAACCCCAGAGCTTACTGCCAGGCGACCAACAGGCAGAGCCTGGCACTACTTGGTGTGCTAGCCGCCCAAAGCCTAGAACTTGGTTACTTCGTGGCGGCAATGACTTTGGCCTGAGTCCCCAGCATTGGGTCCAGCCTGGCTGGGGCACCCCTAACAGCTGCCACACTGCAGGGAGCTTCTTTTGCCCCAACCCCATGGCTGAACCCGACCTGTAGTCACATTTCCAAAGTATTGCTTTTGTTAGGTGGGTCTTCTTAGGTGTTTCTCAACTCTTCCCACCCCCTACCCAGGGTGGCTCAGAGGAACCTTCCCTGTCAGGCACTAAGGGGGCTGTTAGGTGAAGTTGTAGGGGGAATTTCAGAAACTCCACATCCAGAAAACCCTCCAGCCAACAATATCCCAGAAGAGGCGTGGGGTGGGAGAGAGGCCTCCTCCGTGAGCACAGACTGGATGCTGTCAGTTCTTTGCCAAGATAGGATGCCTGCTAGTCTGTCCCGTGTACTCTGCATTGAACTTGGCTGCCAAGTTTAATGCTACTTCCACATTCTTCTTTGACCTCCTTCTCGGTCTCCCACAGGGCTGGCAGGAGCCAAGCACTTGGGCCATCCTCTGATGCTTTCCCAAGTGCTTTAACTTGGAACTGGATTGAATGTGGAGCACCCGGGTCTCGAACTGGTACTCACATGGGATGTCAGTATTGGAGGTAGTGGGTCAGCTGGCTGTACCACAGCGCTGGGCCCAAAGTGCATCTGATTGCTTTCTTGTGCAAAGACAATGCCCTAACAGCGATCTCTGGTAACATCCAGACCCAGTCCCTGGGTCACTGTCAAACCTGGCAGGGTGTCGTCTTACCTCCAGGACTCTCCCAAATGCCAGCAGAGTCCTCGCTGGACTTGTGGCCTGGTCTGTCACATGACTCCCTGAATTTCCCGCCTGGGCATCTCCAGTTACTTTCCTATTTATTTACAATGTCTTCACTTGCTTGTTCTGCTGTCCTCCCCACCCTGGAATGTGGGTTTCTGCTGTGTATGGCTGTTCTTCTTCTCACCTGTCACCTGGCAGTGCCCAAGGAGCTGTTGAGTGAGTGTCCTGAGCTGAACTCTCCCCTCCTCCAAACCTGCTGGGCTTCTGGTACTTCCTGTCCTGGTGGTGACACGAGGCACTGTGCCAGGAA